ATTTTCCCAGAACCATTTATTAAATAGGCTATCTTTACTCTAATGTAAAATTTTGCTTCCATTGTCATAGATTAAATGATTGTATATGGATGGACTTATTTCTGGGCTCTCTATTCTGTTCGATTGGTCTATGTGTCTGTTTTTATGCCAGTACCATACTGTTTTGATTACTGTCGCCTTGTAGTATGATTTGATGTCAGGTAGAGTGATACCTCCCACTTTGTTCTTATTTCTCAAGATTGCCATGGCTATTCAGGGTCTTTTATGGTTCCATATAAATTTTAGGATTATATGTTCTAGTTCTGAGAAAAATGTCCTTGGTAGTTTGATAGGAAATACATTGAATCTATATATTGTCTTAGGTAGTGTTGACATTTTAACTCTATTAATTCTTCCTATCCATGAACATGGTATGTATTTTCATTTATTTGTATCTTCTTTGATCTCTCTCTTCAGTGTCTTATAATTTTCTGAGTACAGGTCTTTTATTTCTTTGGTTAAATTTATTCCTAGATATTTTATTCTTTTTGAAGCAATTGTAAAAGGGATTGATTTCCTGATTTCTTCTTCTGATAGTTTATTATTGGTGTATACAAATGGAACTGAATTCTGAATATTAATTTTTTATCCTGCTACCTTACTAAATTCATTTATCATTTCTAACAGTTTTTTGGTGCTGTCTTTGGGATTCTCTCTATATAGTATCATGTCATCTGCATATAATGACAATTTTACTTTTTCCTTTCCAATATAGATGCCTTTTATTTCATTTTCTTGTCTGATTGCTGTGGCTAGAGCTTCCAGAACTATGTTGAATAGAAGTGGTGAAAGTGGGCAGCCTTGTCTTGTTCCTGATCTTAAGGGGAAAGCTTTTAGCCTTTCCCAGTTGAGTATGATGTTTGCTGTGGGCTTATTATATATGGCCTTTATTATGTTGAGATATGATCCCACTATTCCCACTTTGCTAAGAGTTTTTGTCATAAATGGCTGCTGGATTTTGTCAAATGCTTTTTCTGCATCTATTGATGTGATCATATGATTTTTATTTTTCATTTTGTTAATGTGATGTATCACGTTAATTGATTTGTGGATATTGAACCAACCTTGCTTACGAGGAATGAATCCCACTTGATTGTGGTGTATGATCTTATTAATGTGACACTGAATTCGGTTTGCTAGTATTTTGTTCAGACAATGGGCCTGCTTACATCAGTTCTAAGTTTGCAAATTTCTGCACTACTTGGTGAATTGCCTATACTACAGGAATCCCTTACAATCCACAGGATCAAGCCATTGTAGAACGTGCTAATTTACAACCTTAAAGAAACAATTACAGGGCTGGCCAAGTGGCGCGTTGGTTAAGAGCTGGTTTGGGACGCCAGCTCTGAACAGCAGGGCCCTGGTTCGGATCCCACGTGATGGCCAGTGACACTGCCCTCTACAGCTAAGATGGTGAACAACAGCTCGACCTGGAGCTGGACAGCCATGAGTCACTGGCGATGGCAGAGGCTGCAGCCCCTGCTGCAGTGGGCTGCAATAAGCTACCATATATGGCTGACAGCCAGTGTGAGTGGCCAACAGCCATTGTGAGCTGCCAAGAGCCACTGTTAGCGGCTTTCCAGAGGCTGGCAACTGATCTGCCTCACCCGGGAAGAGCGCAATGATAATACCAACATGGGCCAGTGAAGCAATGTCCTCCACAACTAGACTGAAGAACAAATGACAACAGCTTGTCTGTTCCCCTTCCCCTGATTCCCCAGCGCTGTTTCCCTCCCCCAATTCCCAAATAAAATCTTTAAAAAGAAAAAAAAAAAAGAAAATAAACAATTACAAAAACAGAAAGGGGGAGACATGAAAGAAACTCCTCAGGTGCAATTAGCAAAAGCCATGTTTACTTTGAATTTTTTTTTTCCTTACTTTTTTTTTTTTTTTTTTTAGCTGAGCCATCCTGCTACCTGTTGGCAGCTCAGTGGCTGCTCAGCTCAGGCTGGACTTGAACCACTGTTGCTCAGAGCTCAAACTCTTGAGCGAGCTCTTAACCAACTGAGCCACTTGGCTGGCCCTTACTTTGAATTTTTTTAATTCATCTGGTTCAAGCACAGAACTACATCTTGGGTGAACTGCAGCTGAAAGACATTTTAATAACAGTCCAAGAAAATTAGAAAATGTTCTCCTATGGTGGAAAGATATTCAAAACAATCAACGGCATTTAGGGACTTTATTGACATGAGGACAAGGCTTTGCTTGTATTTCTCCAGGTCAAGAAGAACGTCCTTTGTGGGTACCTGGCCAGTGTGTCAAACCTTACCATGAGTGACACGCCCAAGAAAAGAAAGCCGGTATGGCCGAAGATTGCAAGATATGATTGGCCTCCTAATTGGCCTATAGTGGAGGATACTGGACCCCCGACACCTCTGATGATTGAGATGTCTAATCTCTCATTTCAACCAGCCCACCCAAGAGCAACCGCTCCTTCAGCTTTTCGTGTAATTACTACACGAACAAGGAGTGGTCCTCTACCTACTTGGGGTCAACTGAAAAGGCTGGCTCTAGTAGCTGAACATCGGCTGTCAGAAGAAAATATTCCAAAAACAGAGGCCTACATGCTATTATCTATGATGGCAGTCCTTGCTGTTGTAAGTTGTTTTCCAATCGGTGTTGCTGCCGATAATTTTACTTATTGGGCTTACATACCCAATCTTCCTTTGTTAACTCCTGTAACTTGGAATAATGATCCTCCTCTGATTTATCTTAATGATAGCTCCTGGTTCCCTGGACCTGAAGATCCTAGAGGACTGGGGTTTCCTGAGGAAGAAAGGCAAAGTTTTACCTTATCTGGCCATTCCTCACTAGGTTATTTGCATGCCCCTATCTGCATTGGCTCTGTTCCTCTGTGTCTCTCTCTTTCTGATCAAGCCTGGGCTATTCCCAGTGGAAAGGAGAATGACACTTTTAAGGAATTGTTTATGATAACAGGAAAAGGATTCATTACTCAGCAAATTAGCACCCATAGCTTCCCTCCTTTTTTAAAAAAATCACTGGGACAAGAATCGATCTCGAATTCATTGGGAGTAATGTCATGGAAATATGGATAGAGTAATAATTAATAATTGTTATGAAACTGTAGTAGATTGGGGTCACTTTGGGACTGCCATTCATGCCTGTTCCCGTAAAAAATGTTCAGAACCTCAGCAATTAAGAGGACACACAGCTGAATATGGTTTTCCTAGAAATTTTGAATCTCCATTTAACATTTCTATTTTTTGAAAAAATAGGGCTCTGGCCCCACCTCAATTTAGGATGATTAGACCCATCCGGGGTCCATTTCAAAGGACTTTATGGAAAATAGCTTTAAGCATTGGACCTAATAAAATATGGAAAGGAAATCTTACTAAAAATACCAATAAGAATTTCACTTTCTGGTTAGAAAAAACAGAAATAATTTATTTACAAGTTTGCCTTAAAAATCCTTTTGTTTTATTGACAGGAAAATTTCCTATTAATCAAACTGCAAAATTGGTTGAATGCCCTCAATGTCGTTTATATACATGGCTTAATTCCTCTATTTTTGGGACTTCCCACGACCAGATTATGATACTCAGGTGAAGACATGGACTATGGCTTCCCGTTCAAGCCTCGAGGGTATGGAAAGGTTCCTCAACCGTTCATATTCTTTTACAGATTCTTCATAAGATCTTACATATAACTAAAAGGTTTATTGGCCTTTTAATAGCAGCCATAATGGTAATAATAGCTATAACCACTGTTGCTGCTGTCTCTGTGGCTCTTCACCAGACGGTACAGACTACTCAATTTATACAACAGTGTCATGAAAATGCAAGTAAAACTTGGAATCAGCAATTGAGAATTGATCAAGAAATCAGCATACAGCTGGCTGATTTAGAAACAACTGTTGTTTCTCTTGGAGATCAATTGGAAAGTCACTGGACTATGATTACTTTAAAGTGTGATGGGAATATTTCTACTTATTGTGTAACTGCTTTTTCTTACAACCAGTCATGTATCCAATGGTCTGAGGTACAAGCTCATCTTTTGGGACATGTGCCCAACCTGACTGTAGATATTCTGCAGTTGCAACAAGAAGTGGATCAGATATCATCTGCTAATCTCCAGCGCCACCTGGGAGAGGATGCCCTTTCTGTGGCTGTGGAAGGATTATCTACTCTGAACCCATTCACATGGGTGAAAAACCTCAGTGGAGGTTTTGCTGGTGCTTTTGCACTCCCATTAATCATTCTATTTCTGTTTTGTCTAGTCCTCTGGTGTGGACAACAAGCCCTCCAGTGGGCCATAGATGAAGAAACTGCAAAGTCCATGTTTCTCCTTCTACAAAAACAGAAAGGGGGAGATGTTGCCTTACAGCTACGTCCACGACTAACACCCTGCACTAACCCCTGACCTAACGAGGTCCTCAGGAAGTGTCTCGGAATGCTGAGACCTGGTGGAATGATATAGGTCATCTCCTTAATAGTAAAGGACGCAGTACAGTAATGTTGTCCTGGGGGTTGTGCAGGATGTGTGAAGGCATCATACATGTTGGAAAACAATGGGAGCTGGTTAATGAAAAACAGCCTTAAGGCACGTGACACGTGGATCTTTGAGTAATCCAGTTTCACTTCCTTGAAATTTTTTCAATAAAAGCCATGCGACGACCCAATTCGGGGTAAGTCCATGAGGCTTATGCCCCCTCGTTCCGCTTTAGCCTTATCTCTGTCTCTGTCTCTTGTGCTCTTTAACTCTGCACCACCCCTCTCATTTCTCACTGCCCTTGCCATGCAGGTCGTGACAGCCCTTAACCTCTCTGTGCCCGTGTGGTCCTCATCTTTATAAGAACTGAGGTAGCGCCTGCCTCATGAGTGGGAGTGGTGAAGAAACAATTGCATGAGGCTTTAGCAGCAATAATTCCAGTTTTGCAAGTGTTCTCTAATGGTTACACATTCACCTCTTGGAAGCCTCCAGATGAGAGTAGAAGTTTCAGTCACTATTTCAAGTAGCACTCTAGGTAAGTGAGAGCATAGGATACATGTGTCTTATGCCTCATATTCCCATGCAAAGTCCTCCAGCTCAGAAAATGAGTGTCAGTCACTGAGAACAGACATGATAGCCCCCAGAGATATGGCAGTAGGGACAATCTTTATAATGGGACTCGGGGAATTTCTGCTTTACCATTATGTCTTTCTTTATTGCACTGGGTGCATGCTGAGGTCCACGGATTTCATTGTCATGAACCTGAATGTGGCCAACACTTTCATCCTATCCTCTAAAGGAATCTCCAGTACAATGTCATCTTTTGCATGGTATCACATTTTTACTGATTTTGGATGCAAATTTATGTACTATGTTCGCAGAGTGGGCAGGAGTGTGTCCATTGGCACCACCTGCCTCCTGAGTGTCTTGCAGACCATCACCATCAGCCTCACGAACTCCAGGTAGGCACACCTTAAAGGGAAAGCTCCCAGTTACATTTTTTCTTCAATGTTCCTCTACTGGGTCCTGCAAATGCTGGCAACTGTCACTTATTTTATGTTTATGACTAGTAACTTGAGCAATAACAACATCACAAACAGAAAAAATTTTGGATACTGTTCTGCTATTCGTCATGAGAGAATAGCAGATGCATTATATGTGACATTGCTGTCAACCCCTGGTGTTTTATGTTTCGTGCTCATGATTGGGGCCTGTGGCTCCATGCTCTTCATCCTGCACAGGCACCAGCAGAGGGTCCAACACCTTCATAGGACCCACGTCTTGTCCCAGTTTTCCCCTCAGTCCAGAACCACCACAACCATCCTTCTCCTGGTCAGCACCTTCCTCTTTTTTAACACACTTTCCTTCATCTTTGTCATTTTTCTAGCTATTTTTAAGAATCTCAGCTGGTTCATCTTGAACTCCAGTACAGCAATCACTCTGTGTTTCCCAAGTGTCAGTCCCTTTCTATTCCTCAGCCGTGAGCCCTGTGTCTCCAGGCTCAGCTTTGCCTGGATAAGGAATACAAAATCCCCTAATCCTGGGAGAAACATGTAAAGTGTATGTATTTGCATAGTGTTCAATTGGTAACTCACTCATCCCCCTCAGAATAAGTATAGTTATGAGTGTCTTAGCCAAGAATGGTACACAGCACATATTCTGTTTATGTGGAGTTTGTGGCTCCTTCATTTCTAAAGAGTAAAGTTGATTTTCTTGAATTCTAGGAAAGATTTTTACATAGTGTTTTTTTGTGTGTACTTACATTCTGCAGCTGATGCAGAGTATTGTGAATTTAACACTTTGAACAGCAAGGGGACTATTTGCCCTAATGAAAATTTGTATTGAACCTGTATCCCAAAGAGAAATCCTCATTTTTAGCTTATATGAAACACTTGAATATTTATCCTAAGTTACATCAGAAAAGATGGAGAGGAAAAAAACATATAGAGAGACACACGCTACTTACACTTGTGTATATGTATAATACATGTGCATATGTATATCTGTGTGTGTTCTGTATGGGTATATGTATATATACCTATACATAAAAAGTCAGTCAATATATTGAAACTTTGTACATTAAGAAAATGTGAAATTGTACTAATTACAATAATGAGAAATCCCTTTTTTTAAGATTTTATTGGGGAGCTGGGGGGGAATTGGGGAAGGGGAACAGCCAAGTTGTTGTCCTTCAGTCTTAGTTGTGGAGGGCGCAGCTAGCTCAGCTCCAAGTCCGGTTACCATCCGGCTGCCCATTGGCAGCTCGGGTCACTCAGCTCAAGGTGCCATGTTCAGTCCTCGTTGCGGGTGGGCATAGCCCACCATCCCATGCGGGAGTAAAACCAGCAACCTGGTTGTTAGGAGCACGTGCTCTCACCAGCTGAGCCATCCTGCCACCTGTTGGCAACTCAGCAGCAGTTCAGCTCAGGCACAGCTCACTGGCCAATGTGGGAATCGAACCAGCGACGCTGTTGCTCAGAGCTTGCACTCTTAACCAACTGAGTCACTCGGCCAGCCCTGAGAAATCTTAAAGTGTATGTTACCTAATGTGTATATTGTCATTCTAAATGTATAATTGTTAAAATTACGTAAAATATATTTAGTTCTCATTCTTGGCCATATGCCTTGAAATATATCCAAGTAATAAGGTAACAGACTTTTGATTTGTAAAGAGTAATTAGTCTTTTTAAATTTAACATAATATGTTATATTTTGGCATCAGCAGGTTATTTTCTTAGTTTATCTATGTTAATTTTTATTTTATTAACTTTAAAATATAATTGTATATTGTATTTCTACATTATAATTTCACATTGTAATTAACATGTTTTCTTTGAAAGCTGCATAATCATTATTGTTTCATTTCACCTAGAAATTTCAGCGTATATTTAAAATAATTATACAGCATCATTTTCTTTAATGCAGTTAAACTCTACTTTAACTGTATAAGGATATTGCAACACTAATCTGTTCATCATATTTTATTTTTTTTTAAGATTTTTTTTTATTGGGTAATTGGAGGATAGGAACAGCACTGGGGAATTGGGGGAAGGGGAACAGACAAGTTGCTGTCGTTTTGTTCTTCAGTCTAGTTGTGGAGGACGTTGCTTCACTGGCCGAAGTTGGCACCATCATTGCGCTCTGCCCAGGCGAGGCAGATTAGTTGCCAGGTTCTGGACGGTCGCTCACTGCAGCTGCTGGCCGCTCACGCTGGCTGCCGGCTACACACGGTAGGTAGCCCATGGCAACCCACTGCAGCAGGGGCAGCAGCCTACGCCGTCACCAGTGACTCACAGCAGTCCAGCTCCAAGTTGAGCTGTTGTTCAGCATCTTAGCTATAGAGGGAGTGTCACTGGCCCTCATATGTGGGATCTGAACCGGGGCCCTCTGGCGTCCCAAGCCAGCTCTTAACCAATGCACCACTCAGCCGACCCACCATATTTTATCATCTCGATTGGTAATATATTCTTTAAAAATTTGGAGATGCTTGCACAGGGCAAAAGTGCAGAACTGAATGAAAGTTCACAGTGTGAACACATTTCTTTACTCAGCACCCAGATCAATACATAGAATATCATCAGATCCCAGCGCCCCCTGTGCTCCCTCCCTGTCACTCCTCCTCAGGATAAGCACTGGTCTGACATCTAACAGCACATGTCACTGTAGCCTGTTTTTCATTTTATACAAATGGATATAATTGCATCTGTCTTTCTCCCTCTGACACTCCACTCAGCACAGAACCCTCCAGATCCATCCATGCTGACTCCTAATCATGTCCGTGAAGCAGCTCCTAGCTCATTGTGACCCTCAGCTGACTGGTTCTTTTCTATGGTTTCTGTGTCCTTTTCTATACTTGCTATCACCTTGTTGAAGGTCTCACTAAGTTCCTTGAGCATCCCCATAACCATTGTTTTAAACTCTATCTGGTAGGTTGCTTGCCTTTATTTGATTTACTTCCTTTGCTGGAGTTTTCTCCTGTTCAGTCATTTGGATATATTTCTTTGTTTTCTATTTTTCACTGCCTCTCTTTGTTTGTTTCTATGTATTAAGTAGATCTGCTATGTCTCTCCATCTTGGCCAGGTGACCTTATGTTGTAAGTGACCTGTGGAGTCCAGTGGGACAGTCTCCCTTGTCACCTGCACTGGGTGCTCCAGGAGAGTCTCTTGTGTGGGTTGTATGTGCCTCCTGTTATAGTTGAGCCTTGATTGTTATTGGCACATCAGTGGGTGAGATTGACTCTAAGATTGACTGGCTGTGGGGCTTGGCCTTATCCACAGCTTATGGACTGCTGTGCAAGGGGTATACCCCACTGAGTGGGATTCACCCAGTGGGATGTGGTTCCTCCTGAGACTTCCCTTCTGGTGTGCCACTTCTAGGGCTAATTGCATGGTGCTCTGCTGTGTTCTCAAGACAACCTTCAAGTTTGTTGGTTCTGGGACCTCTTGGAAGTGTCTCTGATGCAGGCCCAGGTCATCCACTGCTTGTGGCTGGCTGGGGACTACCTGGTTGGAGCTACAAAGTGATCCACAGTTGTTCGCTGTGTGTCTTAAACCTGGAGGCACATGGGAGAGGACATGCTGTGAACCAAGGATGGCTGCCACCAGTACTGGGCCTGGGGTAGCTCTGCAAAAAGCCAGGACACCTGGAGGCCTGCTGCCTGCCAGCTCCTGTAAGTCTCAGCTGCTGATCATGCCTTGTGCATTATGTGAGTTGGGTGAGGTGGGGTCTCAGGGAATCAACATGGTGGGACAAATTGTGTTCACCAGGCTAATGCAGATTCTGGTTTGGTGCTAGTGCTGAGCATGGAGCTACTCACCAAAACGCTCAGAGCACACTGAAGCCAGCCAAGGCCCATAGACTCTGGATAGTTTTCCATAAAAGAGTAAAATGTGGGCTGGGCTCTTTGCCTGCTAAGAAATTGCTTCTGGTGAGCAATTTGGGAGAGTTGTATGGGGTGGGTCCTAGGTAGTCACCAGGGTGCAGTGAGCAGAGCTCACGAGGCCAATTTAGATTCAAATTTGGTCATGGGTGTGAGGGGAGGGCTCAACACAGGAAAGACGGTGCCAACCTGTCAGCTACATGGGAGAAGAACCCATGTAGAAGAACACACAGGGAAAATGTCGAGTTTCCCTCCAGTCCTTCCTTCGAATCCACACAACTCAGTCTCTCCTCATATGTCTCTGATGCCCCTGAGTTACTGGAGGTTGGAGTGAGTGCCTGCGACCTAGTGAGTCTGTGTGTGGACCCTTTAACAGGACTTCTGGAATTGCCACAGCCTCTGTCCCACCTGGATGGTTGGAATTCCAACTGTTTTTCGCAGCCAGATGTTGTGCGGGTTTCTTTTTCTAGCAACATTACTCTGGGATGGGGAGCTTTGTGTGGGGCCCCTGAGGGAACCTCCATGATCAAGATATCCCTCCAAATTCTGAACCACCGTACAGACATGTGGGAATGGCCCTTTCCACATTTGGGAACCTCCTACATGGACTCTTCTTTATATCCTTAGTTATAAAACTTCTGTTCAGGCTGCCTGCAGATATAGACCCTTTCCTCTGCTGCCTTATTGCCAGTTACATTAAATACAGTATGACAAGAGTTTATTATTACTGTGCTGTAGTCAACATCCATATGAGTGTATACAATGGCCCCCATGCAGAAAAAGGTTGAAAAGAAAGGCTGTAAGAAGAAGGAGATGATTACGGTGGAAGTTAAGAAGGAAATCATTGAGGGCCGGCCGAGTGGCGCAATGGTTAAGAACTGTCTTGGGACGCCAGAGGGCTCCGGTTCGGATCCCGCATATGAGGGCCAGTGACACTGCCCTCCACAGCTAAGATGATGAACAACAGCTCAACCTGGAGCTGGGCTGCTGTGAGTCGCCGGCGACGGCATAGGCTGCAGCCCCTGTGGCAGTGGGTTGCCATGGGCT